ATATATATATATATATGTGTGTGTTTTATCTACACTGCCCTATGACGGGCACGGGTTTTAATTAAGTCCAGTCCTTATACGCAACGCTATGTATGCAACTAGTCAAAAATGCCTACGTTGCTCTCTGTGGCATTACCAATGTATTTGATCTGGCTAATGTTTGTGCAAGGGGAATGGTATCGGGTTTCCCAGTGATTAGCTCACCTGGCTCTAGGGGATGAAAGTTCTTTCAAATGGATGACCTTGACCAACTTCCATGGTGTCAAAGGTCAAATTTGTTAACAATTAGTTCTTTTGAATAAGGGGACCTTATTTGGCCACCAGCATTTTTGAAAGAAGGTCCATAGATTTGTTAACACTAACAACCTTAACCCACTTTCAAAGTAACGGGCGTGAAAAAGCGTTTAAATCTTTAAAGACGTATTGTGAATAATCAATAGGACCAATGTGATGATATTTGACCAGTAGCATGCTTAGATACAGAGCTTCTAAGTTCGTCTAAAGAAATTGCATTGACCCACTTTCAGGGCCACATGGTCAAATAGTTAAACCAGGTTGTCGAGGGTCATGATGTTTATCTTGTTGCTTTTATGATGTGAAAAGCTATGTGTGTGGCATAAATATATCACCGTAAAGGTCATATCCGTAGAAAAAGGTTAAAATCCTCTCAAAGACCCATAATGTGTATTGTAATGATGTCTTCAATAAGATTCATCAGCTTGGAAATACGTTATATCAAGTTTTTACTTTCTACACAAACAATGTAATACGTACATTGTGTAGAAAGTAAAACGTTTCAAGACCGACTGGTCTCTTTGTCTGTGGTGACAGCTTGTCAGCGTGACAGCTTGTCAGCGTGACAAAGGGCCAGTCGGTCTTGAAACGTTGTGACACATTTAATACTTCCTTTTTTTTGTGTAAAAAGTAAAACTTTGATATTGTATTGTAATGATATTAACCGTATTTAGATAAATTTGACTGTAAAACATTGAAGTGTTAAATTAAAGATGAATGATAGCTTAGCGATAACATCCCAATCGATCGTTTTGTTTATATAGTGAATTGTAATATCGAACCAATTTTCACAAATTGTACATCCTTTAACTACCTTGGACGTTGGACGAAGGTTTAATCAAGTTTAATTAAAAAATAAAATCCTCATTACCTCTACAATAATTGGAAACGGGGAAATTATCTGCTTTAAGATTAAAGTTCTTGGCATTTAGGGAAAATGCGATCAGATAAATTCGGTGGTATATTTTCATAAGAAGCCGAAAGACATGTGACAGATTGTATTACATTAAAGACTCTTTGTAGCATTTGTATGAAGTTTGTTTTGATAGAAAAAATAGTGTTTTTTTTTAATGTTTGCAGGTACAATGTTGAGGACACTAGTTGTAAGTAATTTTGTGGATTTTCGGACTACGCAAATACTTAAATTTCAAGAGGGAGCACACTTTCTGATAGGGGCAAATTCGTCTGGGAAAACCGCTTTGTTCGAACTGACCAGGAGATGTTTATCAAAAAAAGCAATCCGAAGGTTTCGTACATACCGGACGAATCCAAACCGGCTTACATTATATGCAATTTCGAAATGAACCAAGAACTTGCAAACACGGTAAGCAACGTGATGGAAAGCAAAAAAGATTTGTCTATGTCTTCATCGTTTGACAAAACACCCCAAACTAAAACATTCATGTATTCATGTTGTTTTGTTTATAAAAACCCTTCGACAGGAAAACAACTGTTATTCAAGGTGGTTTGCGTGTATGACAGTCCGATGACAGTTGAAAATATGCGCTTGTATATCCAGCGTTTCCCATTGGAAGGTTCTGTTATTAAACTGGCAGATTCGTATGACGAATGGAAAAGTGATTCCAGGACAAATCCTGAATTAGCGAAACAATTTTTGAATTTAGATAAACAGATAGCGGCTGATGAAGGAATTGAAAAAGCAGCGGCCGATGAAGGCATTGGAAAAGCAGCGGCCGGTAAAAGCATTGAAAAAGCAATCAATGCTTTCAGTAGTTTACTGAATGGACTCGAAGAGCAAGCGAGAAAAAATGATATTGGTGAAGAGATCCTGCGGCAGTTGGATGGGGTTGTAGTTGTTACATTTCCTGTTCGCGGTCACGGACCCCTGCAACGGAACCAGAACCCAGAAATGGGAAAAGTCGATGGCGGATATGGAAAATATAGGAGTGCATCAGATGGAGCTGTGATAATACATGCACTTCTCGACTCTCCAGACGTGGACCATCAGGAAGCAGATAAAACATTCAACGAACTTATCAGTCCTAATATGTTTGTCTTTAAAAAGAAAGAAAAGCAAGGAAATAGTAGCACATCTAAATCAAACAAGGAACAAGATCAGGAATACGAAATAGTTGTTGAGAAACAAGGTCACGCTGTTCCGTTGATGAAAATTCCCGAAGGTATTCTGGAAGCACGACATTTCAGTTTGTTGCTTGCACATAAGAAATACCAGACGATTTGTCTTGAAGAGCCTGGTCGCGGTATGCATCCACCAATGGTACAGAGAATACGCGACTTGCTGCTGCGGAAACAGAAAGGAAAGACCTTGATAGTTATATCACATAAACCAAGCATGGTCAATTTCTGGGCCTTCGACAGAATGTTTGTAAGCAGGACCATCTTTCATGCCGAAAAACCCTATCACAGTGTGCGGAGGGTCAGAAGCGCGATGCTGAGGCGTTACCAAGAAGAGAACTTGAGAAAGATACTC